CCTTCTCTGTGCCACACTGCTTGGCACAGAGGACACAGAAATAAATGAAGCATTGGCCCACTTAGAAACTATCTCAGCTTAAAGCTGCACATGAAATGTTATTGGGAGTGGCAGTGCACTTGATGGTAACATTCAGGATGTCACACATCTACATTGCCTGCCCTTCGCTTGATCTGTATTCATTTTTTGGAGCCACAGTGAAAAATATGGATCACTCAAAGATCATTTAGAACTAGGGGAGGGAAGAAAGCTGGGCAGGAACAGAACAACTTTAGGAACACCCTTTGGGGAAAAGAATCTATAGCTGCCTCTGTCCTTGGTATCCCTTCCCATAAAAATGGTTCCTAACCTCGGTTCAGCTTGAATAAGTTTTGTTCTTTCTTGGCTAAAACAATCCTCCTGAAAGTGCCTAAAATCATTCTTCTCTAGGATCAAACTTCTTACAGTCTTAGATTGCACTGTTCCACATAACGGTCCTCTTGGAGGAACTTTTAACCTTTGCTTAACTACCTGTAGGACACTGGAGAGGCTCAGATCTCTCTCTTGAGGCAAGCCTGTTTCATATCAACTGACTCTAATGATTAGATAATTCTTAATTTAAAAAAAAAAAGCCGAAATCAGCCTCTTGGAAGGTATCTGCCCTCTCTTCCTGCAAAAGAAATGTTCTTCAAGGATTCAAGGATGATGGTTGCTATGGTCTAAATGTTTGTGCCTCTCCAAAATTCATATGTTGAAACCCTAACCACCACCACACCACAGGTGATGTATGATGAGGTAGGTCTTTAGGAGGGCATGAAGTCAAAGATGGGACTAGTTATAGAGGAGCCCTTTTAAAACTGGCCCAAGGGAGCTTGTTTGCTCTTTCTACCACATGGTGTTACGTAAGTCCTCACCAGACACTGACCATGTCACTGCCTTGATCTTAGGCTTCCCAGCCTTCAGGATTGTGAGAAATAAATTCCTGTTGTTTCTAAGCCACCCAGGCAATTGCATTTTGTTATGAGAGTCCAAATGGACTAAGCAGTGGTGGAAGGTGGAGTGCCCTAAAGTCAAAGGGAGAAGTGAGCCATGACAGTGCAAAGAAACAAGTGAGAACCAATCTGGCC